CCACTTCTCCTTCATCTTGTTGATCCTGAGGAGCGCGAGGCCCATGATGGAGATGATGACGGTGGCAATGAGATAGAAGATTCCCTCCCAGAGGTCTTCCGACTTGCTCCAAATGTCCTTGCCCAGGCCATAGAAGACACCGATGAAGGCGCCGCCGAGGATCAAGCAGACGACGATGCCGGAGATGGCACCGGCCCATACCTGCCTCACGAGCCGCTTATAGACGGCGTGGTCTTGATCGGGGCCTCCCAGGCATTGCTTAAGGAAGGAGAACAAAACGGAGAGGATGATGGTGGCCTCAAGACATTCTCGAAACACGATGAAGAAAATCTGCACGGCAAAGACGTTGTTCGCCATCGTGGGTTGCGGGTGAGCACGGCGATGAATCTTCTGCGAGACTACACACCACTCACGGGAAGGGTAGGGAGGCAAGCTTTGATATTTACATCCTCCACGCGCGGAAATAAACGTGCCGGGCATTGGAGCTTGAAGCTTGATGCCGCATGATACGGCCAGTGGAGTCGGTGACATGCCATTTCCGCGAAAACCGAGCAGCGCCTTGCCCAGTCGATCCAGCCTAGACGAGAAAGATCATCAGATAATGATCAGATAAAAAAAATTATCAAATTAGCTCCATCCCAAACCGATCTGCTAGCAATGCTTAGCATCAGCTAGCCCGATAATTCAAGCGGAGGAGGGCGGCACCAGGCGCCGTGGAGCCAATGACGATGGCTGCGAGCCGCATATTCGGCATCTCAAGCTCGGGAATGCCCACCACATCTCTCGGAGGCCGTTGACCACACCTATGAAAAGGCCTCAGGCAGGGGCCGCTAGTATGTTTTCTCGGGACTCGGCACCAGGACATCTGATAAGTTGCCCCCCCTCCCTCAACAAGGAATCTCGTAGTTCTGAAGGATGGCTATTGGCCAAGGCTGAATTTTAGACAACTCTGAAATCTGATAAGCTTGAGTCAGTCACACGCCTCTCATTCTGGATGCTGGAAAAATACATCCCCCTCCTCTTTACTTCTTCTTTGCTTCCCTTCCCTCATATCATATCTTCTTACCTGTCTTGTCCCATCATTCACACATTGTGCTGGTCTCGGGAGCGAGACTTGAAAGATGGTTAACATGGGTTGGGCACACCGGATAAGTGTCCTTGCCCTCATCGTTCCCTTTTGCAGAGCAAAGACTGTCACATACGACTTCAATGTCTCATGGGTCAACGCAAATCCTGATGGATTGTATGAGCGCAAGGTCGTGGGCATCAATGGCCAGTGGCCTTTGCCTGTCATTGAGGTGAACAAGGGCGATCGGCTCGTGGTCAACATGTACAACGGCCTCGGAGACAAATCATCCTCCATTCACTTTCACGGCATGTACCAGAACGGGACCAATGAAATGGATGGCCCGTCAATGGTCACCCAGTGCCCGATCCCGCCGGGTTCAAGCATGACATACAATTTCACCGTTGAGCAAAACGGCACATACTGGTACCATTGCCACACTGGCTACTGTTACCCAGATGGCTATCGACAGGCTCTGATTGTTCACGACGATGATGCATACTTTGCGAAACAGTACGATAAGGAGTTTACCATTAGCCTGTCTGACTGGTACCACGACTTTTTGGAAGACCTATCTCATGAGTTCATGTCCCTGTATAATCCTACTGGGGCAGAGCCTATTCCCAACGCCTTCCTTTTCAACGATACCATGAACTCAAATATTAAAGTTGAGCCAAACACGACGTATCTTGTCAGAATTCTCAACGTTGGTGCGTTTGTCGGTCAATATCTGTACATCCAAGATCACAACTTCACTATCGTCGAGATTGATGGAGTTTACACCGAACCAACAGAGGCAAGCATGTTGTATCTTTCAGCTGCGCAACGATACGCAATTCTTCTCACAACGAAGAATGAAACGGATAAGAATTATCCAATCATCACTGTTGCGGATTCCACTCTTCTCGATACTATTCCTTCTGACTTGCAACTCAACAACACGAATTGGCTGGAATACAATTCAAACGCGGACCACCCCGAGGGTGTGGTGGACGTCGATGAAAGCACAGATTTGGCGCCTTTCGATGACCTGACCCTGGTACCTCATGACCAGATGGCCCTTCTGCCCGACCCAGATGTCGAGATCGAGGTCACAGTCTACATGAACAACCTCATGGACGGGTACAACTACGCATTTTTCGATAACATCACATACACGGCGCCTAAGGTCCCAACTCTGTACACTGTCATGTCTTCTGGAAACCAATCAACTGACCCGACCATCTACGGCGACAACACAAATCCGCATGTGTTCAAGCAAAATGATGTTGTCCAGGTCATCATCAACAACGCCGACAGCGGCGCGCATCCATTTCATCTGCACGGCCATGTGTTCCAGGTGATTGCGCGCGAGCCTTCCTACGGTCTTGATTTCTATAACCTCGCGGACGTCGACCCGGTGCCCTTTGATGCTAACAACCACACCGCGTTCCTCAGCACCCCTCCCAGGCGAGACACGGTCGTCCTCCCGCCGGGCGGCTACATGGTCCTGCGCTTCGTCGCCGACAACCCCGGCGTTTGGCTCTTCCACTGCCACATTGATTGGCACATGGACTCGGGCCTGGCCATGCTGTTCATCTCGGCCCCGGACAAGATCCAGGAGACGCTCAAGATCCCCGACCAGCATTACGACGTCTGCAGGGCGGCCGGCGTCCCGTTTGAAGGCAATGCTGCGGGGAACACGCAGAACTTTCTGGATCTGAACGGCGAGCCGCGACAGGAGGCCGATATCCCTGATGGGTTTACGCCCAAGGGGATTGCTGCCATGTTCTTCACCATTTTGTCGGCGTTTTTGGGTGTTGCTAGTATTTTCATCTACGGATTGTGGGATATGAAGAAGGCTGGTGTTCCGACTTCATCATGATAGTTGAGTGGTAGATAAGACAGAGAGGGTGTATATAATTCAAAGTTAATATAAGTTGAAAGCTAAAGAACGCAACCCTCCTCGCCAGTATGGTGTATCTAAACTCTGGGCCAAGAGATGCTGGTCTTGCAAGCTAGCTAGTTTGCCACTCCGTGTAAAGACCCAAGGGTCCAGTCTACCGCCGGGGCAATCTCCGATCGAGAGCCTTGCGTGTGTCTTTCCTGCCTCCACATGGACCCTAGTTTCGAAACTAGTCGACCCAGAGGAACATACGCAAGGCTGGGTTCGCCCCCACAAACAGTCCACTCATAGCAGTTGTGGATATTCGGTTCTAGTCGGACGTCCGACTTGTTTACCCAATTCCCAATCCTCAGTCTGATGAAAGAATTTTCTGTTTTTCCAGTTGGGAAATCTGAGTTATCAATCTGGTGCTTGGCCAGGACTGAGTTTGATTCATCCCGACCTCCCTCGCCACCCGTCTTTGAAGACTCCACTTAGCTGCCTTTTCCCCAACCAGCCAGACATATGTCTGGCCAAACACAAGATTCAAACCGTTCGCATGGTGGCGTTCAGCGGACGTCGATACTAGCCTCCACTAAGACTGTGCTAGTCATGCACTGCCCCGGGTTTCACGGCACTTGGGTGGAGGCTAGGGACAACGGTGAGTTTACAAGCGTAGAATGATGAGCTTGCTTGTTTCGAGGGATCACCCTGGTTATCAATCGGCATCCTTTTTCCGTACAGACGGTCGAAGGCTTTGCCCTGCTGGAAACAAGTGATAGACCCAAGCTTACTTGGCCATGTTTCCGGCATCTACTTCCTTTCAATGGTCTGAGATTGGTCTAGGATGAGACGGGAGCCGGTCAACGTCAACAAAAGGCGCCTGAAAAGGAATCTCCTCTCAAGCAGCAAATCGTTCTTCCTTTTGCGTGGTTGAAGAAAGCGCTCGTAGTTACAGCGGATAAAAGTAACGCTCTTTCATGTTGGCAATGTATGTCAAGTTCGGATTTGACGTAACCATATGCCCGTGTTCCCATCGAATAGGGGACCTGGCTCATAAAAGAGGCTGGTGGTTACACCGAGCAAACTAGCAATGAGCTGTACAGTCCAGGAGGTCCCTTTTCGATCGATGCTGCAATGGTGGCAAGTTTGAGAACATGTAGTACTTGTTCTTTGGGAGGCACGCAATTGCCTTCCATGTCGTTTATCGGGTGTTTGTGGAAGTCAAGTCACATACGCTCCATTCTTCCAGCCAGGCATTGTGCCATTTGGCGTGGTCTCTTTTTGTAGAAGTATCATGTGAGTCTATCTTGAGAGGCCTGCAGCTCGTGATCAAAAGCATCTTCACATGCCCGTAGGCAAAGAAATAGAATAAAACATTCCAAGTCACCGAATACCGAAATGCGATTAAAAACTTTATTGAGATTCTAGAGTCAAACGTCACATCATAGGTGGCCTTTGAATTTTGGCTCTTGCCTTTGAACCGCGTGGGCCAATAAAGGAGGTGGTTCGCACAGTCCGACCTCGCGATTGGTAGTTTGCCTGGAGAACGACGAGCTCTACTCGTAGCACCTCCTGTAATCTAGCGACAATATTCTGCAATTTTTCATTATGACAAATCACTAGATGTTGATAATCAATTAACGTACATGCTGAAGCTTCGGAACTTGTCCCAAAACCAAGCTTTCCGCCACTGAGGTAGCTACAGAAACCAAGATCGAACTGACTCTTCACCTCGCAGACACAGCCTAAGGCTGTACACAAACTACCACATGCAAGAGCAGATGTACATGGAAAATTATGCAGCCGAGGTACCTAGAGGGACATATGTTGTAGAGAAGTGACTCACTGACCCACAGGGAAAGAGCGAGCGCGGGTTCCTTCCCAGCTCTTGCCAGCTGTACCCGACTCCTGCACCAGTCACATTCCACTCAAGTTACTGACCCCAAACAACTCAGAGAAACCTCCCGTTTTTTCCTTCTGACACTCAACTTCACCTGCAAGTTTTCGAAGCCCAACACAGAACTTCCAAGCCCTGCACTCTTGCATGTCCCCCCGCTATTAAACAAAATGCAAGAGAAGAGGATCCTGATTCTCTTTAGAGGCATGGGCACGAGACCTTGTATCGACTACCTGCTTCGCGACGAATACAACGCAGTTAACGTAGGTGAGCTGGCCATGTTTCTTGTGTTATTTTCCCGCCCAACTTTCGTCTTGCTAATAATGTCCTAACCCCTCTGTGCTCAGCTTCCCCTTCTTTTTCAACCGCAGCCCGGCTCGTCCGCGGAAGGCCCCGAGTGATGGCCATACCCTTAAACATGAGAGACCCCGACCTCGATCGGCAGACTGCGGCCCGCAACCTTGTCATCTCAATGGTTCCGTTCATACATCACGTCGACATTGCTCGCTCCTCCATAAAGGGAAAGACCAACATCGTCATAAGAGGGCACATCTCCCCTGCTGTCAAGAGCCTCGATGCGGTAGTGAAGAGGGCTGGGATTGCTGAGCTGTACGAGATCGGCGTGGATTCCGGAACAAATCAGCTTTACGCTACCAGACACATTGCAAGCATACATGCTACGGGAGCGAAGGTATGTCAACTTGTGGTGATGTTCCCCTTTTTACCAGCTCAACTGACCACAGAGTTAGGTGAATCCCACTGTATAATCCTGAAAGCTCAGCAGAACCCATGCACTCCTCTCTCCTTCAAGGTAGGCCCGATCATCCATCCCATCTTTAGGATACAATCCAAGCTAACAGTGGAACAAAAGTTTCCATGGCCATCGTCGTTACGACGTTAGATAGTCGTCTATTGTCTTTAATGATTCCTTCTCTGGTTCACCAACGAAGACCTTGTTACGACTTTTACTTCCTCTAAATGGCGCCTCCTGCAGGTGAGCCCGCGTATGAGGGCGCTCGTGCCCACGGAGCTCGAAGTCCCACTGGATCGGAAAGGTCAAGCTTTGACTCTCTATTGCGGAAGAGAAGAAAAAGATCATTAAGTTTAACGGCAATGGAAGCTTCCAGACCCGACAACTCAACACAATGAACAGTGAATACAAAAGGTCAAGAAGAAAAAGCTTCGCTAGCCCAAGGCTGCAGCCATACGGAAGAAAAGCCCGCAAACCTTTATACCAATGACCGATAACGGATGGCCTCACTTTTGCATGGCCTATGTTTTCTTTTCAGATCTCATCTTTTCCTTTTCAAATAAAGGCTGTGCGAAAACTCAGAGCGAAGAGAACACGAATAACAACGAGCCTTAGGTTCCTGATACAAGGGTTGTGCGGAAAGGGTTGTGACCAAGATCGGCCCAGGAACTCACTTGCTACCAGCACAAGCTGCTCGTCGAATGACTATTGAAGCCACCCTCTTTCACCTGGCTTCCTTCGTTCTTCTTACGCCAATCCAAGCACTTCAACACACCAAGCTCGAGACTTTTTGGATATCGACCAATAGAGTGAGTACCAGTAGCCCCTTGGCCAGCATACTTGCGCTGGCGCATCGGCAGCCTTCGATAAGGCTATTTCGGCCCTGAAAAGCAAAGGGTTGGGGTGGTTCCAATTCCTCGTGCCCAAGACTGCAGCGGATGAGAATATTCCACGAACTCCTCATCGCGGTGATACCGGGCACTGTTCAGATGAGAGGAAACGATTACCTTCCTCCTATAGGGATATGGAAGAGAAAGAGGATAAAGTTTAACAACAATGAAGCTGCCAGGGCCCGGAACAACTCAACGCAGTGGAATACGAAAAGCTTAAAAATACAGCCTTTCCTGGTCCGCCCAAGGACCTCCTATAGGGATACAACATCCGAAATTCTCTCCTTGGATGGCTCCGATATCTTCCCTCCGTGCTCGAGATCCTTCTCCCATTCTAGGAGAATGCCATCAACGAGAAGAACGAGTAGGGCGGCCTGCGGTGGCGCCTATAAAAATGCGAGGAAAAGACGTGGATTTCGAAGGCAGACAGCCATCTAATGTCTTGCCTCCCGCAGGGGAGCCCGCATATCAGGACGCTCGTGCCCACGGAGCTCGAAGTCCTACCGGATCGGAAAGGTCGAACTTCACTTCGATATTGCAACGGGGCGTAACTCCTCGATGGGAAGTTCCTCCTCCGAGGGAAGCTCCTCCTCCGAGGGAAGCTCCTCCTCCGATGGGAAGATCCTCCTCCGATGGGAAGATCCTCCTCCGATGGGAAGATCCTCCTCCGATGCCACACCAACACGCTTGTCAGCTGCGTTCTTATCTCAACGGAACCCTACTTGCTCTGAGCACGATGAAGAGGAGCTTGACATCTTCGATGACTACTTTAAAGATCCAATCCCGCAAGACAATGGCATGGATGGATACGCGTTCCTCTCGTATCCCAAGTGGCACTGGCAGTCCACCCGCGAAGCCTATGCCGTCCGGAAGCCCACAGCTGCGTCACCGCGGGCTCTTATGATCAAAGAAGATCGTGAAGCCAACTCGTCATCCACTCCATCATCCTCAAAACCTTCCAGGAAGGAAAGGAAGCCAAAAAGAAAGACGATGATTTGCTTGAGATGGGAGTCATCGTGGTGAAGAGTCCTGAAACCCAGGCTAATGGACCGAGGTTCTCGAATCCTGCAGTAGCTCAGGCACCATATTGGTTGGCTTGGCGCTGAGCCGAAGGACTGGCTAGAGGAGGGGATGAAATGGGCGGTGATTCACCAGGCCTTAACAAGAGCCACTCTTCCACTAAAGGAGGTGGGCATTCCATTTGATATCGCAGCGCAGCTCGTGCTCAGTCAGTATCTGCTTGTCTGTTTGCGGGGAATCAGGGCCCCTTACAGCCAGAAACAATTTGCCTTCGTTCCGGCCAGGTTGGAGGCAGAGGACGTTGAGCTTGCGGTGAATGGGTGTACCTGGCACGGCCGAGAATGCCGCTAGAAACTTTTGGGAGGGAATTTTTGCTCTGGCATCGCTTTCGGCCGTCGCGCCCACGGAGCTCGAAGTCCCACCGGATCGGAAAGGTCGAACTTCACTTCTATCTCGCAACGGGGCGTAAATCCCCGATGGGAAGCTCTTCGAGAACTCGTAGCTGGTGACCCCAGGTGTCCCTCCTCACGGCCCCCGCCGTTCCTGACTCGGGGCCACGCCGTGGGGTCGTGGGTGTTCGAATTGAGAGGACTATAGATAGCTTACATATCTGATAGTTATGTTAAAAAGAGGTCGGTGCCCAGCCATAGCCATTGGTAAAAGAATAAGACTCTATGTTACTGATTCACGATCCGATACTTGAATATTTATATACTCTTTGCCTAAGTATGTCTTCTTCTTCCATTGAGCACCTGCTGCCGCAAGAATGTACACGTTTCTTTGAAAGACCTGGAGCGTATGCTCTCTATATGAATGTACTGGCATAATAAGTCTAGCAAGTTCTCCTTCGACTTCTTCCATCCCGCCAAATCTTCCCTTTTAGACTCTGGAAAAATGCTACGGAAAACGCTCCAGTCCATAGCCATCCCCAAGATCAAGCATGACAACATCTCTGTTCTGACTAACCAGAAGATAATTTAACTGGAAAATCCCCCTGAATAATAAGATTATTACACGTTCCACTTAGCGCTCCCACGACGTAATTCACCTAACTGGTCTCATAAGGTATAATTTCAATCCATGGTAAGAGGATGTTCTCCTCGATACACCGTAGCAAGAAACTGAGTAAGGATGTGGTTCTTGATCACAGACGACCAAACTAGCGAGTCCGGTTGACCGGGAGAAGTCGTCGCTACAGATTGTTCAAAAAAAAAAACCGTCTCTCTCTACTACCTGAGTGAATACTAGGCTAGCTTGAAGAAGAATACATCTCTTGAACCAAGACATTGTGTGTTCTCGGATGGTGATACGGTGAGCAAATTTAATTCAATAAGAATCATGTCAGGAGATGGTTGATGATATATACCTTAAAACAGAGAAACAAGCTCTGCTGAACCAACCATAGAGTACGCGGGACATAAGAGGCACAATAAAAAGAAATTCGTCATTGATTCCATTAATCCACATAGTCCAAGATCTCCCGACCACAGGCACATAATCCAAGACAGCCATATTATCCATCTCTGAACTACATTAATGTGGCCACCCTTGACCAATCGCGCTACTTATTAGTCACATTATTCATATCTGTCGAGAAAGTCCTCGACAACCCGGACATTCTCGCTCCAGAATGCTTGGGATTCAGCTTCTGAAAGATCCGCTGGCCGCGCCTCCGGCTTCATGAACAAGCCAAATCGAAACCACTCCCTGAACACATGGGAGGCATCCGTCTCCCCCCAGCGCCTCCAGTAAGGTATCGCGCCCCAGAAAGCCTCGCGAAGCTCTTTGGCTCTATCGTACTCGGGGCCAAAGCCGTTCAGGGCTGGTTCGCGGAAGTACGCCTCGACGGACCGGTTAACCGCGAGAAATGGTTCGCTGGCAACGCATGTCCAGCCAATGATAGCCTTGAATGTGGTGGGCTCGTCGCTGGACACGATGATGTTGTGGGGTCCCATGTTGGAATGCAAGACGACGATAGGGACATCCTCAACAATCGGTGAGATCTTGTGCAAACGAGTTCGCACAAAGTTGCCAATCCTCTTGAGATACTTCTTCTTGAACTCTTCGATGCCTTGCTGCTTCTCAAGGGCACGAAACGAGGTTTGCACGTGTGACTCAAGATATTCCCGTACTGAGAGGAACGGACCCCCAAAGCCGTGGTGTCGTTCGGCTTGAACATCGAGAATGATCTCATCGCCATCAGTTGTAGCTTGAAGCCCGCCGATCCTGATTGGATCGGGGAGCGAGATATTCCAGCTGGCTGAGAATGCCAGTGCCACTTTTCTTATAAAAGCAAGCTTGTCTTCGTGAGACAGATTAGGGTATATCGTAGAGGCCAAAACACCTGGCACAAACAACGATACTTGTCGTCCCAGACCTGTTGATTCCTGCCGCTCTCTTTCTCCCGGTATCGGAAAGAAGGCAGGTATGGGTAGTGCGTTCTCGTTGAGTGCCTGAGGAGTTTTCCCAAGCCTTGTGATCAACGATTCCATGGAGGCCACATTTCCATGATGGCGCAGGTGGATGAGATAAGCAATGTTCGGATCTTCTTCCACCGAGACCTTGTACGAAATGCTGTGTGCACCGTCCAGGAATCGAGTCGACGAGGTAAGTGTTTGGCCGGTGGCCGAGGCGATAGCCTGAGCTTGCTCCGTTTCTGAAATCACGATGGGTCCCGGGGACGATATCTGCCCCGAGTGTCGATCGATGTTGACACGATATCGATCGGGGTGTGCTGACGGTTCTTCACCGCCGTCCAAGGCCACGGACCAGGAGAAGCTGGTGGGCGTGGCCTCAATCAGCGAGTAGCCAGCATCTTTGACTGTCGGGGCACCAAGACCGCCGGAAAAGACGTAAGACATAAGCGCTGAGAGCGCCTCATCTTCAGTCATATTATTCTGTGACATTTTGTAACATTGTGCGGATTGGAAATTAATTGAAGTGTGAAAGAAGGATGAGGGGGAAGCAGCAGCTTTGGGCACCCATCAGCAATTGGGGGAACTGAAACACTGCCCCGTGAGTGGCTGACCGAAGGTCGTCTGCTTATCGATAAGACGAGCGACCATCTGATCTTTCCAACCCTTCTTGCCCGCGTGATTGCCGTCTTTTTTGGTATCCCGCGGTGTGACAGAGACGATGATGTTTTCTCTCTATTGCACTATGGCAAGGTGATGTTTGGAGCAGGACAGCAGTGAGAGGAGAAAGAAATCTGTGGCTTTATGGTTCGCTGCTTCGTCCGGGGTACTATCATGGATGGAACCACAGCAGGTCCTAGAGATCACGTGGAAGTGAGTCCCCCATTGGATGGCCATTCATGCCCAATTCTTATTCAACTATTGATTCAAGGTAGCTGTACGACAGGTAGGCACATTGGTGATTCAATCTTGCGGCACAAGACTGTAAATAGTGCGCAAAAAGACAAGCACTTGTGCAGCAGGCTTATACCCATTTGTTTCCATTAGGATAGAATGGCGGATGATGTAGACCTCTTACGGGAAACCATCTCTGTGATACTCAAATAATTAGGCGAGCTGTGCTCTTATTATAGCGAGGATCGGCATGTGACTGCTTCTGTAACATTGAAGCATCTGCGCTTATAAACACACGACCACCAAACCATCAAGACCTTGTTTATCCTCTCGCGTGTCTAAATGATAATTTAATCCAGGTGGTTTTTTATTAATTTCTCATTTGAGGCTTAAATCTGTATGTAGTCATGTCGTTATCCGATAATCCAGTTAACATAGGAGGAAGCACTCTTCATTCTATCCCGACTGACACAATGCGGCAATCCAACCCCAACGAAATCATTCAACGGCTCCGACAAAGGATTTCCGATGGCCGGAAAATACGAGAAGAAGCCCGGAAGCGATTCCAATTCAATTGGGGGATCTATGGGCGCAATTACAGGATTTCTCGCGCTGGGCGCCACACCAAGTCCGCCTTCGAAGCCGCTGACAATCAAAGAACATACCAAATCCAGGTTGATGAGGAGAGATTATTGGAACTTCTGAAACTACTGGGGAGGAGTGAAGTGGTCTAAAAATACAGCGGGTTCGTGTGTTTGCCGCGCCGGGGAGGCACCGGTGCTTCGGCATGGAACTGGTCCTGAAGTCTACTTTATGTAGGGACGTCCCAATAAAATCTTCAACGGCCACTAGATTAACGTGCGCTATGGAAGCCACATATTATAGATTCCGGTTTTCCATGCTTTTATTAGAATCTGCTAATTCTCTTGTGATGGCACAAGTGGTAGGCAAATAAAGGCTGCGAGCTCGTTTATGGACCGCTCGACTTGTATGACCTCGATGAACACGAGGCGGATGGAGCCGAGTCATTCCACTCATCCCCCATTCATGACTTTGTTCACTGATCTTAGCATCTGCCACTCAAGGTATTCCTTTCACAGCACGAAGCTTGGTAATCTCGTCACCCTCAATGGATTCCTCTTGCGAGACACACCCGAAGCCGCTGGCTGCGACTTTTCAAACTTCTCTTCAGCTTTCTCTTTATCCTCTCCTTATCCGACACTACTTTCTTGTCATTTCTAAGATATCACAAGTGGCCTCAGTGATTTCAGCATCCAGAAACCCAGTCTCCAGCTTGGAGTCACGAATGAGGTCAGATACTTGTCGACTTAGTCTCGCGGGTAACACCAATTCCGAACCTGGGTCCCGACGGATTGGGATTGCTCTCGGTACTTGTGTGAATGGGGTGTAAGTGGCCGTACCACATGGTCTCAAGTTTCGGTTCCGACTACCAGCGGCTATTCGGACGTATCCCCCATCGTCCTCACGGAGGTTGTTAACGAGTTTGTAGTTATCGGAGGATTTGAAGGTGTAGGCGTGTTTAACTATCCATACTGGAAGTAAGTTAGCCATTGCAGGAGATAATAAAAAAACCAACTAGTCACCTTGAGTATGTGTCGCTTAAGTTCTTTGGCTGATCGTGGAGTCAGCGCTCTAGGAAGTCAAGAACCCGATAAAACTCGAATCTGGGTTTCAATTAGATGGCCCTGGGTTGCAAGCTAGATTTGGGATCTTAGGAACCAGCGTTGGAGCTGCTGACTGCAATCTGGGCGATTTCGTACATCGGGATGTGATTCAGCCATGTTGGATGTTGTTGGTTGCGTCGCGCACTAAGACCTGACTTGGTGGGTGGCGTTTCAGAGCATGCCAATTGGCATCATGGTGGTATATCATAGCCAGCCTCTGGGTCAGGGCTAGTAAACCAAGAATAAAGGAGCTCCTTAGGAATGGAGAGAAATTGTTCAGAAACATCCCGATGGAAAATGGTAAGGTCAATTGGACGTCTGTGTTTTGGCCTGCGTGGGGGCTAGGTCTTCTCTCAGGAAGGTAGGTGCTTTCAATGGTGGTGCTCGCCAGAGGTAGCGGTCCTCTGAGCCCTACCGTAGGGGCCACCTCGCCTATAGTGCAGGTGGCTTCAGCACCCGTCCAGGCCCCTAAGCACCCGACTAGCGGCAGCAGTCAGTGCTGGAGCAGTCTCCAACGGTGCATCATACGGCTTGCGACGGTATCCAAGACATTCAACTGCTGCGCATGCAACGCAACGGCGTTGAAGCGTAAAGACTCCATGATAGGTAGGTAGTAAGCATCCCCGGCTAAGCGAGGTGTATGCGAGCATCACGCGGCCAGGTGCATCCCCTAACTAGCCATAGTCGTACGTCGTACGTCGTGAAGACTCCCATGAGAGCTGAATGTGGACGAGAGTTGCATTGCCTAGCCGCTGTCGGCCACGTCGCTTCCAGTTACAGGAACCACACGCACCGCCTTGAGATGGCTATACCATTCTCGGCACCCTTTTTACCAGATGGGCTAGTCACTTATGCAATGCCTTGTTGTGACGTGTGACCCCTGTCCAATAGGCTTGAGGCGCGGGGAACTTCCGGCCACTGGCGCCAACGCCCTTCCCCACGCCAGGTCATTCACCCTTCACAGCTAGAAGTTGCCCGTTTCCCTACGTCACATTCCAAGGGCTCGATGGGAATAGACAGCGCATCTTTTTGATTACCAAGACCAGAATATAGACCCTGATATGCCTTCACTATGCTTTTGGTAGGTGTAGCGTGGACATATAAATGAATGAATGCTAAGTAGTGAATGTTTGAGACTTGCCCCCTCAAATAACGTCTAACCATTGGCTTGGTGGTGCTATCTACACGGTCGGGGAATTACTCCGTTACGTGTAATCCTCGCACATGGCACAACTCACTACTTTCAATGGTACATGGATTAAAACTCGACAAGCATGCAGTCACCAGACTTGCGTCCTCAGAGCTTCAGCAAATGAGGGAGTGCAAGAGCGAATTTACGTCGTTGTCAACGGCGAGCTCTTCAAACAAGTTGGATGGAAGCATAGGTGTAGGGTAGGCTAAATGCACGATAAGGGTAAGCGTTGCTCTTGGTGGGGTCGTGCCACCCCCATGAATGCACTTCCTGTAGCAACTCCCTATTTATCAACCGTAATCTCGGAAAACAAGGTTCCCGTGTTCAGGAAGACTCCATTGCAAGAAAAGTAAGCGAGAGTGGTGGAAGAGAAGTAGGGTTTGACAAGCAAGAATTCCCCGGGCGCTTGTGCCAAGACGCGGTGTGTAAGATAACACTGAGCTAAGCCAGATCCAGTAAGATGATACGCGATACGAGTCTTGACGCAGGGATTAGACAAGTCGAGTTAGCGGCCTGGTCTGCCGCCCGCAGCCGATTGGGTGCCAGGAAGGAAGCTTGTCGCTTACTGTCTAGCATCAAACGTGCACCACCTCCGAGCTAATTCGAACCACGATATCACCTTGATATCTTTCCGTCTGTTGGAGTTCTTGATGATACCATTTCCGGGATTCTATAGAGGTAATTTGAGGTCTCAGGTGGAAATTATAGGTTATGAGGCCTGTGGATGGTCTGTACGGAGGATATGTCGTAGGACGAAAATCGGAGCTTTGAGGTTGAATGCAAAGCCCGAAAAACGTCGCAGCGACGATATGAGCGGTTGCAGGGACCAAAAATTGGGATTATTTGGATTGAACGACCTCAAAAGGCAATCAAATCATGAAAATAATAAATTCTGACTTGTTTCAAATGTAGAAGCATCCAATGTCAGAGAAACAAGAGCCGAGGAGCCAATATCAGCAGGGATTCATTACAATTCTAGACCCGGCTACTGTCAAACCGGGCCTGCTTTCCACAACAGGGCGGTTTCCAGAATCTGATGCTCCATCACAGAGTAGAAGGATGCTAAATTCCACTTTATCGTCATTGGCTTTAAGGCCTGAAGGCTGAGAAAAAGGGCTGCGAGTGAGGCTTATCATCTTGGCACGCAACGAGCCCTAGGAAGTAGCAATCCTGGTGTATGTATTCGAGAGGGATGATACCCGCGCTCTCTTTAGCAAAGTAATCACTCTGAAAGCCTGTACTCTCCTAGAATCCAGGTTTAATCCTTCCAGGAGGTCTACTACCAGACCACTGGTCGTTGGATTAAGTGCTGCCATGTCAAACCCAATCCGATATGCCAATGTCCCCAGCCAACCAGATTATTCAGGATTACAGGTAGCCCCCAACCCTGTTGAATCGTCGCCCGAGGTCGTCTCTGGTGAGGAAAAGATCATCTACAGCTATGAGGCTTTGAAACATGATGATACGCTGTATAGCCCCAAGAAAGAGCTGCCTCTAGCGCCGGATCATCCACCCGCGACGACACCCACGACGGCGCCCACGACGAAAGACAAGAAGAGATGGCCTCGCAAGTATTACATCATTGGCGCCATCGCCGTTGTGATTGTCATTCTTTCTGCAACGCTCGGCGGTTACTTCGGGTCTAGGAAGAAGCCATCACAGGAACCAGATCCTTCGGAGAACACCAATAGCACGACCACTTCGACGGTGTCAAACGAGCCATCATCCCTTGCCCTCGACTCCAGTCTCTCAGCTGTTGCCTGGGCGACTTTTGACTTCTGACGGGGGATTTGTCCGGTACGCCGTCTACAATGCTCCCAGGAATGGATCGCTGGCATACTCCATGTCCACGGGATCAGGCGCTCCGGATGACTCCAAGTGGGAAAAGGCGATGAGCCTCAAGCCTCAATACCCAGCGGCAAACGGCACACCCATCGCCATCAGCCAGCTTCGCCAATATGCTGGCGACGTGACTGTACGTAGAAGGGCGCTGCGAAACTCGGAGATGATGCGTGAATTACAAACACTGACAGCGAGCGCTCGTGCCCCTTCAGTACCAATTGGAAGTGTTCTATCTCAACAAGACCAACCGAATAAACGGCGAGAACCACAACCGAGCCAAAGGTTGGGGCCACGATGGCATAAACGAGAAGGGCTTCACCGCGCTGCCGGAGAGCGACCTGTCCGCCTACTGGCCCTACCTCGTCTACCAATCCCGCGAGGTGTCTCTGCAGATGGTCATCTGGACTGGCAAGTTCGACTCGAGCGACCTGTCGATCCGGCCGGCACGTGGATCTCAGCTGGGGCTGGTGCCGACGACGAGGAACTACACGAAGATGGCCACTCATGGGCGGATAGGTCTCTTTTACCAAGATGAGGCTAGCAAATTGATAGCATTCGAAAATTCACTGAAAACCAAGATCCCCGAAGGCGATAAAGATGCCAATGTCACCGATGTTGTGTGGAATTCAAGTAAGTATTGAGCTAGCCCCCAAGTGAATATGTGGATGAAGACTATGCTAACACATACCAGCCTTTCCGGACATCCGCCTTCCCAATACCGGCCACTTCACCGTATTCTCAGTCGCCTCAGACAGCAACAAGACGGCCGATACGGTGGACACTTTGGTTCTATATGGAGATGATTCGCAAAAGATTCAGCAAGTGTGGAGGAACGGAACAGAGAACACATGGGAGACTTCGACGCCGGATGCGTTTCAGGATATTGACGAGTGGTCCAAGATAGCATGCGTGACGCCGCCGATGTGGACAAATGCCGAGGAGCAGATGAGGCTGGCCTTTGCGTCCGACCTGACGCGATGCTTCTTCCAGGGCAGCGGTCGTCTAATGGAGGTGCAATTTGATGGGGCGGCGTGGAAGGCCCCGAAGGAGGTGCCACTTACTTAATGTAATTTTGCTCGGTCATGGAGGTCAAATTTGGGGCCTGTTCTGTGATGAGATTTGCCTGAATTGCAACTGCACATGGCGACAAGACAAAGGGGTATCTCATTGGGGAAGAAGCCATGCAGCCTTCTTGGGCGCTACGTTTGTGCTTGCTTCTCACTCGATGGCTAGTGATGTGTGGAGGTCACGGCTGCTTGGATTGTCGGTGGTGTGAATCATTGCGAGGAGACATGATACAGTACTGGCACAGGAGAGTTTCATGTAGTCTAGGGACTCGCTAGTTAGCTGCTCTATGTTTTACCTCCTGAATAACCCTGGATCAACCGTGATTGTATCTCTAGTCTCGTCTGGCGGATCTGGACGATAACCCCAGTAGCAGACCCGGCGCCTGTCCCTGGCACATTCTCTACAGACAGGGTGATTCTCACTACACTATTCAAGTTGGACGGATCGGTTAGCAAGGTTCTTCTAGCGATCGGGAACCCCTTCCATACCTTGACCCTGCGCGCCCTGCAGGTTAAGCAGCCCTTCTTGTTTTTTGTTGAGCCCCTGGGCTCGCTTTCTGGTCTCAAGTCTTCCTCTTTGACCCTCTGCTCAAGGATGCGTATTGCATCGCACGAATGTCCAGACTCAATCGCAACCTCCCTCCTGGACCTCCATCCTTCCAAGATGAACCGTATCAAGTCTGAATTGACGGCGCTCGTATTCTCTTCCAGCTCGGGGAAGTCGAGGTGGGGATTGCACTCCTTGCAGATCGTGTCGTGGAGAGCCTCCGAGCCCATGAAGGTGAGTTGGTGATCAAGTAGCAAGTGGCTCTTGAGCTCCTCATTCGAGCCGAATTGCGTCCTGCATTCCCGGCAACGGAAGGTTAGGAAATGGTTGTCGAGGTATAACCTGAAAGACATTAGAAACCTGATGTGAGAAAGGGGGGATGGGCTCGTACTTGTACATTGATTCTTCGTCGGTTTGCGGGTGACAACACTTAGGCCTCCAGGGGCAGGAGTATTGAGAATCTTTCCAAAACTGGTCTGCACACCTGTACAAGAAGTGGTTTCGAGAAATACTGGTATTTGTAGTGTCGATGCTGGCTTCGAGGTAGACTATGGCGGTTAGACCCTGGGCATCTACTATATCTGTTCCATCTTGAGTGATGGCGTCGGGACCTGGTAGGTTCCATTGGTTTGACGCTGAGGAATTATTGGTCGAGCTGGAGGTTGATGGTAGTCTGAGAGCCGGAGGGCGCTGGTTGTCGTCGCTGAGTGCCTCCTTGAAGTAGTTCTGGGCTAGTACAAGGCTGCGAATGGAACTCTCAGCATCTCGCTCGATTATGTTGATATGTACCAATCGCTGTAGGGCTTGCATAAGAGGGGCCATCGAAGGGAGAGCCCAGCCTTCTCTCTCCAGTTGTAGAAGGAGGCCCTGCTGAGTTTGGGCCATGATTCGAACCCATTCTTTGTCCAGAACACCACCTTGCTCGACCGCAGTAGCAAAACGGTGTTGAGTCTGAAGCAGGGGTACTAGTTTTTCATGAAAAGAGGAGCATCTGAAAAGGGGTCGGGCTGGTGGTATCAGGAACGAAGCTCGAAGGAAAACGCCGTCTGGCGCAAATGGCAATGAAGAGAAGCTACATGACCTATTGTGGGTTTTGCAGTTGGTACAGGCAGGAAAGATTTTGTCGCACTAGAATGTTTGACGTCTTAGTGAGTCTACGTTCAATGTTTAAATCTTTGCAACTAACGTACCTTCAGGTGTGACGACTGTTTGCAAGTTTTACACCCGCCTGCCAATGATTTGCCATGTTTGAGCTTCCTATACTTCTTCACTACACTGGCGCAAGTGCGTCCAATGAGGGTGGCTATGATCGTTTTAAGAGATTCGTCTTCGAACAGCCACAACACCTTCATCCACTCCTCTCTAGTGGTTTCTCTCTTCTTGACGGCGACGTACTTTCGGGCTTTGGGGTCACAAGCAGAGCATATGCTCTTGTGGAAGGCAACCTTGTCATTATATAGTGTGTCTGGATGTTGTACCTGGACGTGTGTCGCTCGGTAATTTCGCCTAATGAAAATTTGAGGACAATATACACAGAGGTAGCGCGGGGGATGGTATTGTGTGCGCTGAGCCTGGCGGAGAGCGACCAGGTGCTGGAGACGTTGCACGGGGTCACTTGGCAGTATCGGGGGGAGAGTGACTATGTCCTCGAGACGTTGCACGGGTTCACTTTGCCGTATCGGTGCGTATGGAGCTGCAAGGGCTTGGTTCTGCAAGATGTTATTCATCAAGAAGTCTGTGTGAAAATAAAGCAGGGTCCAACCATACCTGGCTGAGCAAGCCATTGGGCACACTGGTGTATCCGGACATGGGAATTGGATCGACGGGGATATAGAGAATGGCGAGAAGAGGTGGATATTAAGGACTGGAGAGATCAAAGCAGATGTCGCAAACTAAGACAACTTTGAGCTTGCTGAGGGTGTATCGGACAAGCTGGATCGGTGGTGGATGTGACTGAGCTTGGAGAACATGCAACTATTAGCCTGAATCACAATCAAAGGTAGGGCTTAGGAGCCGAGCAGAAATGAAGCTCACATGAAATTCAATGCGTAGGAAGATAGCTTAGAAAGCTGGTAGCGCTGGAGTTCGGAGAGGGAGCAAGAGACAAGCTCAAGATGCGACGATGCGGAGCTTGGGCGGGAGCAATTGCAAGTGTCTGTTGAGGGAGACGTCTGTGTTCGAGGGACTGGGCAAGAAGGCGGACTGGTTGATGAGAAAAGACAAGACCAAAGGGAAAAAACGATGATGGCGGTTTCGGAGCAAAGCAGCGTTGGCAGAGTCCCCCACACAAGCTGGAGAAAGGCAAGAAGGATGGAAGGCATATGCCCAAGTGGGAAGCCGGCAGGAGCAGCGGGGAAGACGACAGAGGCAACAAGCAAAAGGACTGCACCAATTTCCTGGCAGAGTAAGCCGATAGTGCGAAACGACAGCCGCATGCAGGCGTTCTATCATGCAGCAGTTGGAAAAAGAAACAATCCAGTCGCATTCATCCCCGGCCCTCCGACCAGCCTGCGAGGACACCCGACGGCGGCATCCTGAGCCCAAGTGCTTACGACGGCCTGCTGCTGGCTGAGCTGAAAGAGGTGGTGGCTTGCTGCACGCTCGAGACATGCATCAATACGCTGAGCAGGTCGACGCATGTATCCTACGCTCACCCCCAGAAGCCCTCCTCGACCAGGGCCTTGTACCGCCGTGTACACCATCATGGATGTCCCTTGTCTGCCTCCTCCCGAGCTCGCACATTAGTCTAATCCTGCTGCCCCAAGGCGACGGAGATTTTCGGTAAGATCGCTCGATCGGAGGCCCTGATAATTTCACAGGTAATGTCCTTCCCGTCCGCCTTGATTGGCCAGACTAGAGCTGCTGTGCAACAAGAGCTAAGGGTCCATGACGCTCGCTTCGCCATCGCAAGGTGCTCTCCTCTTGTCTGGTCGCAGCGCTATCGACCGACCTCTGCCGCCCGTCTGCCCGCCCCCCCTCCACGTCCAGCCAGCCCAAAACTCCCCGCGCCCTCCACCGACGAGCCAACCCCCTCCCAAGCGAGTGCATCTGCCGTTGCAATGCAGGGAAATCTAAACGGGCACAGTGCGAACAGCCAGAAGTGCGTGGTGGCGTGGTTTGGAGTCTGGGCTGTCTGACCGCCCGCTCTGGAACCCAGCCGGCGCTTCATCGCAGCCAAAGCAAAGCAAAGCAAAGCAGCAATCCCATCAGCCGCAGATCGCCTACTCGATCCTTTGTGCTCGCTGCACTGCTGTCCAGATCCAGCTAGCCCAGATCTCTCACCACAATCTCCCGGGTGCGGGTGCCAGAGGCGAGGCGAGAGCCAGGATTAGCTTCAATAACTGCCGCCCTGTTTCATGCACACCGGCTCCTGTGTGCAAGCCCCGCACATCATCGTATGTGATGTGACCGAGTGTTGCACGTAACCGGCCAGGCGACCCAATGTTGCACTGTCTCGGGCAGCAATGTGCTGTCATCTTGTGCTTGGCCGTCTGCGAATGATGCGACAGTGGTCGCAGCCACAACACACCGAGCAAAAGCAAGCCTGCCATCAATGTCGCAGTCTGCTCGTCCAGTCCAGTCCAGGCCTGCGTGCTTGAGGTCCGCTTCCCATGGTAGCCTTTGTATCCTTTTTCAATCGCCCGTTCCCCTCCGTCCAACTCGGCTTGGATGTGGCACCACCATCTTCCATTTCACTCCTCACTAAGCAGTCCTCGTCTCCTTGTCACACATAACACCATCCCGCTTTCCACACTTCAACCTCGTTTCCATCTGCATAATGGACCAAACTGTGTCCTCCCAGTCTCTTCTCCCCATCCGGCCTGCCCCGGGAGGTGAGAGACCCAAGCGTCCTCTTCCCAAGAGGTGTGTCCAGCAACCACCAGGCACCAACAATGGAGAAGCCGAGATTCAGTTGATGCACCAATCGCTCAGCGTGGTCTGCCAGTGGCGTCCTGGACAGCCAACCGAAGGGCTGACCTGGACAGAGAATGCCTATCTTGCTCTGACAGGCATCGCCGCGTCACATCTTGAGCTCTTCTTCACTGGCGATGTCCCACAAGCCGACGAGACTTTAAGTCAATTCCTTGCTGACCTCACTTTGGATTGCGACACTGAGAGCTACGAGACTTGGCGGCATATTGTTCTAGCGCTATGGAGGACTGAAAACGTCGCGTCCCGGAACGGTCGCTCGAGCCACTCCATCCAATCTCTTGTTAACGGTAAGTCGCACTTGCAACACGGCCTTGGTCATGCTCACACATTGTACTTGGCTTAGCGACACCTCTGAAAACCCATCCACGGGACTGTATGGGCGCCGTGTGCGCCTTGGGCCTGTTACAGAGCGTGGCTCCTCACGGCCAAGAGGTAAAGAGGGAGTATCCTATCAACCCGCTCTTCCTACTCAAGTATAAGTATCCCGCTGTCGAGTACGTACTCTGTAGTCGCTCCCAAGTGACAAAACCAGGCATGAGGTCCAGACGTAGACTAACAGTAAAGTAGGTTTGATGAAATTGAGCGCGCCTTCGACACGGAGCTTGACAAGAAGGCGTTCCGTCAGTGGGAACAGCGCGTCAATGCCATCTTTGAGTGCATGGGACCCTTGACATCGCAGCCGGTCCCCCTCGAGCAGACCGGTGGCCTTGTCCAGTCAGATGACACTTATGCGGATTACCTCAAGGAATATGCTAATGCCATCTGCAACTTGGGTGAGTCACGGTTCGGATCATTCACTTTGACCGACGCCATCCACGACGCAACTGCTAGATTTACTGTAGCCACGGCCGGCGACCCGCCTCCCGGCACACCGGAGGACTGCCTTCCCCGCAGAACAACAGAAGAGGAGAAACAGATCCACGAGCTGCACTGTTTAATCGTGAAACTAGTGTTCCAAGAACTGGCACGTCTTCCCCTGCCCCGTCAAGTCCAGCACTCGCTAACCTGCTCAGAGCAACGCCAACCTGGCGGTAAAATACTCTGCGTTCAAGGCAGTTGTGCAGCTCTCTGGTCAGGTGCCTGGCACCACCATTGTGTCCCCTAGAAAGCACTACCTCGTTCTTATCCCCATGGCCGGGAGGGAGGGGTGCCATGTAATGATTGACAACCAGGAAGTATCATGGAGCCCTAGCACTGGTTTTCTCCTTGACGAACAAGTGCCGATCTCGGCCGACAGTCTCATCGGTTACATCGGCATCTACGTCTACAAGTTCTGATCGTGTTCCCTTTGTCGTTGTGATGTTGCTGGGAAGGCAGGGTCCAGGTGATCCTTGCCTGGCGATTGATAGATGTAATGAATGGTATGTAATCGAGGGAATGCCAATTGGATGGCGGCAATGGTCGGGCTTGACAATGTAACTGGGCTGGAACTGGGCAAATTGATTATTGGCTAGGCGAACAAATGGGATAGGTAGGGGCATGGCTCCAAACCGGACAGATTGAACAGGATGCAATTTTTTTCGTTAGCTGGGGGACATGTTGGATGCTTCTCAGTCAATACACCCGTCTTTACCTTTGCGCAAGGTTTTTTTTTTTCTATTTAATTTTGAAACAAGTGCCTCGTGGGAAATAATTGTGACGGTCATGCATGTGCGCTGGAGTGTGAGATTCTGCGTCATTTCCAAGCGTCGGGAGGAGAATGCGACCGACGAGGCGAAATCAATCACCTTACACATCTCGCCTACCGTGCAATACCTTGCGCACTCGCCTTGCCTGCTAGTATTAGGTATTACTCGGTACTACCTAGCCAATTGATTGAATTTGCTCTGCAGTCATGGATATTACCTTGCAGATGCATACCGCAGATGCGTACCTCAGAGGACCATACACCGGGTCGGTCTGTGAGGCTGACCGTGACTGTTCACCGAGCGTTGCTCCACACACAAACAAACAGCGATTAATGTCAATGTTATTTGAACACCAAGGCTTACCCAGGTACTTGTTTAGTTATTAGCAATTAATAGGTCACCTCTACAACCGCTGAGTTAATGGTAGTAGAAATGGTACCGCAAAAATCCCCAAGGCACTGAACAAAATGAGTGTATATGTGCGCGTGATCTCATCCCGCCTCCATACACCTGCTGGCAACTGCTAGTAAAATCGACAAACAGCCACGCGCTAATATCAACCCGGCCGCCAGTGTTGATCTCAGTAATCCATTGTTGTGCTTCTTGCTTTCGTATTTCAATCGTTGACCATAGCTGCCATGTAAACACTAATATCTCATCCTGCCTGTGGTACTCTTGCAGTAGTAATAATAGCATGAAAACTTGCATCGCAACTATTGTCTCTGAAACATATTACAGTAAGGTAAGGGTACCCCTTCTAGGAGGTTTAAGACTGATCAAAATGCTGTGACTCGAAAGACAGGGTGCTCTAAGGTGCCCGTAATGAGAGGAAGTTTTCTTTCGTTTGATTGAAGTACTTACAGCTAAACTTGAAGGAATAATGTGAAGATGTAGTGCTGTGCCTTTTGTTGTGACCTTCACTCCAAGAAATACCCATTGCTTCATTAGAGCCGTGAAAGAATATGTTTGTACTCGATAAGTAGCTTGACCTTTGCTTCGTATCCGTGAACATTTGCCATTCTGTTAAGCTGGCGAGACTGTGGTGACTGTTAACGGCCTCCTCAGGCATCAACATGTTCCCGTGTCTACACGCGCTGTGTTTACCTCCTAAGGCTTCTCGTGTGCTTGCCCTCGCGCTCCCCTTCCTTCTTCTTCGAGGTTCCAATCTCAAAGCCTTCCCCCCCATTCCCGCCCCCTCCCACCAAAGAGATCGTAAGTTCATCACTAATATCACTGCTTCAGTCTAATCCTCCTGCTCACCTTCACAGCATCATCATGCCCGAAGGGCATCATTGCGAGTTTTGCCTCCGGGAGCAGGAGGAGGCCGAAGAGCAGCCTCAGGTTGCCGAACGGTATGAGCGGCCCGAAGTCCCATACCAGAAGGGACTGGTGCTCCAAGTGAGAGCACACGTGCCGTTCGTGCCGTTCGGCAACCCGGGGTATGCAGCCCCGTTCGAGAGCCGTGGGGAGGAGGAACCAGCTTCTGCCTACGGGCAGGCCGATTGGTGCATGGGGCACCCTTACCCGGAGACTGAGCCGCATCCAGACCAGTCAGTCTTCAACCTAAACCTCCTCGACCCGGTGGCTGTCAGGGACGGTAGGGGTGCTCAGCTCCTGCGGTGCGAGTGGGAGGGACAAGAGTCCCGCGGCAAGCCTCTTGTCGCCAAGATCTACGACCCCATGTACTATGCCCGCGACGAGATCGGCGAGGACGTCACCTGGCTCGCTGCGAGCGACTACTCGTGCGAGGCTGCCGCGTATGAAGACCTGCAGGAAGCAGGTGTTGATGGCGTCATGACGCCAAAGTACTACGGATCATGGACTTTCGATCTTCCCATCGGAGAGGGCGAGACGCGCAAAGTACACATGGTCATAATCGAGTGGATCGACGCACCAACAATGCTCTCATACTGCGAAGAAAGACGAGTCCATCTCATACCTCCACAGCGCCGCCTTGATATCCTCGCACAGGTTTTCGAAATTCGCTCCAAGCTGACATTCTACGGCGCCGAGAGCTTGGATCTCGCACTCCGAAACGTTCTCATCCAAGGAGATCTGGTGAACGATACCACCCCGCCTCGCGTCATATTCATCGACTTCAACGACTCGTTTGCGCGGAACCGACCCAACTCCCTCTACCACGTGACATGGGACAAACCTCCAAACCCGTTATGCCTATACTGGAACAAGCGCTCGGCAGAGGAGTTTGCAGCCTGGTTTCCCGAGCCGCATCTCTCAGACACAGACGCCTTCAACAAGTGGGCGAAGTCTCTCTGGGGAAATTCAGATGAGTTTTGTGTCTCGCCGGAGTTCGAAGATATCCTCGAGACGAGATCATACGCGGCCCTCGGCGACTCGCCGCCCCCTACGCCCCTGCCCGACGAAGAATACTTTGATATTGATCAGGAAGAATGGCTCCCGATCCGAGAAGCTGCAAAGTTTGATCCTAGTTTGTGGCCTGCGTTCGTACCAGACACAGAGTTTGAGTCGGACGACGAGTCGTGCTCTGGTTCAGAGGAGACCGCGAGCGATGAGGACAATTAGATCTCTGGAGATTCCGCCATCCCCATTCTCGAGACTTATCTGGACTGTTTCAACGGTTGTCTTTGTTCATATGCGACTTCACTAAAGTGCGACTGGAAGAGTTCTCTCCTGGCCCGTCTCCATATATCCTGTCGACTGGTGTTGTCATCTAACTTCACCCTGACTATTTCTGATTATCTCGACATTGCCAAAGAGTACTCGCAGAGCCTACTGCCAGACTTTTCTTAACCTTTATATTGGAATCTGCTTGTTATAGGCTCCGTCACCGCCAATTTCTGATTTTTCGATATCACTACAGCATCCGCAGAACGTACTGCTAGACTTTTCTTCATCTCTACATCTAAAAGCGCTGGGAATCGGCTTCGACTACGCTTATTTCTCGTTTCGTGTATTCATTGCAACGCACCTTCACTATTACCGCCAGCACCCTTGGTTGCGCTTATTATCGGCTTCGAACTTAGCAGTTTAACATTTCTTCACTTTATTCGAAGCGTTCAGCAATGTAAGAGCCAAGAACGATAACGTCTAGCTCATACGTCAATGAACTTGACTACATCTCTCCGGTTCCCACTGCGGGCGGCTTAGTTATCTTGATACGCATTATCTTCCAGAGTAACATTAGCCCTTTGTTTGGCGGTGTTCCGGAACTGCGGTCAGGCATTATTACAATAAGTCGATTTTAGGACCGAGTCATCATCTTCATCAACTCCACAGAGCAGAACATCTGTAAAGCGACTAAACCGGTCCCTCAGGAACACCGGACGTTGCAGCATTTCATATTGTTTCAGGTAGTCCCAGTGTGACTCCATTTCAGGTACGAGAACGTGGATACGAGAGCTTAATTGGTGGTTATGTTATGATTTGGCGTGGATTTGTAGTTGACGGACTAAAATCACGGCATTTATACTGCATTAGGCAATTGTACGTTTGTTACGTGCGTCATTTAGCAAGGGTTAAGGTTGAATCAAAGTTCTATGGTGCTACACTTGTGGTAGACACCTTACTCGATGCTTTCTAGTTTCAACGGGGCCACTATGCCCACTGGAGACCATTTAGACAAAGCAGTTGTTGTTGAGATATAGCTCACAAGTTATCAAATTCCATCCTTGCGCAAACTAGCCAGCTTCTGATAGCGGCACTTACATCCCGAGGCCTCATGATCGCGTTAGCCAAGCCTGGACCATGTGTTTGAGTCCCGCACGTAGATCTCAGATAAACCCACAAGCCCATTCAAGTAGCTATAAGAAACCGTGGGAATAGAACACCCAACTGTAGGTAGATTGATGTGTTTCTCTTATATCGTCCTCCGTCTAATCCATACCACAACAACGCCTTTCCTCTGAGTTGATATTGTGAACATGTTTTCGACAAACCTTTTGATTGCCACAACGCTGGTCATACTTTTGGGGGAATCAGCCGCCTTGGATGCAAGGAACAACAGCACGGCTCCTTCACTCCAACTTAATATAACTGCCATCACCGCATATAACCGCTCTTCAGTATTTGAATGTTGGTCACTTGATACTCCGCTAGCCTCTTCTAATCAGCCAGGGATAAGTGGCTATGCAGCTACTTTTGGCGATATTTCCAACATGACCTATTCCGTTGCCCCTCCTAACTACGACGGAGGTCTTCATGTGGCACCTCACAACCAGTGAGTACTCCAAGATTTGGTTTAGAAACTCTAGATGCTGACATCATGGCGAGATGGCTTATTAAGATCGCTGGGCATGGCGTCGTAACTGTCCCCAGCGACCCATCACAGGCGGCTTACATTGGCGATCCAGAGTCCAGCTTCCTCTTTGCAATGGATACAGCTGAGATCAGTGATGAGGGCCATAGATCGGCCTACCCGGGCAACACGCAGACGATTGTCATGCAGATCCCCACAGTGGACAACATGGTTCCGGATCACACCGTCTTGCACTCTGGGCCGTGTGTTTCAAAGGACTATGCTAGTTTGCGATCGATAGGTTTTTGATTGGCTCCTATTGGGTACTAGAGTAACGATGTTTTAAAAATGCATGAAGTTGGAATATTCACTGAGTCTGCCTGTATTGACTTAACAAAATAGATGTTTTCAGCATCAACAAACCAGGCGTTTG